AGGATCCCTGGTGGTATGTGGGTAAAGCATTGGGCTGCTAATCTCAAAGTTGTCGGTTCAAACCTACCAGCTGCCCACAGCAGAAATTTGATGACTACTCCCATAAATGAGTCATCACTATGGCTCAGAATTGACTCTTGGCAGTGGGTTTTTGTTTGATTAATGGTTACTTTACTTAGTAGAGTAGGAAAGTTAGTTTTCGTATGTTAATTTGAGGCTGATTAGACTTTGGAAGAATACAACCTTTGATCCAGGAAGAGAAAAGGAGAAGGATTCAGGGTTAAATAACGTTTCCTAGATATATGACTTCATGCAATTGTATTTCTACATAGACAGTATCTACCTATGTATCAAACTGCCTTAAAGTCTGTTATTTGAGAAATAACAGAAATACTTGAAAAGTCAGCTATCATTTTGTTTTAAGATTGTAGACAAAACAATGAATGTGAGGCAAAGTTCAAGTATTTATACAATTTTGTCAAAATTTTCTGTTTCTTCTGGCAAAGATCAAATCAAGTAAAAACAGGAACTTTGCTTTATGTCCTAAAGCCTAACTTACACAGACAGATTTATTTCCTCTAAAAATAAATTTAGAGTTGGGGCAAGTCTTACTAAATATTAACAGCATAAATTTAGAACTATTGAAACTATAGAACAATGCCTCTTTCCCCTACATGTTTAAGATACAGAACGAAAACAAACAAACATCCTCTTGAAGGGTTTGTCAAAGTTTGGTATTGTTAATGCTGTAGAGAAATTATAATTTCTGTGTTGATATAAAGGAATCTTTAACACTTAGCTCTATGTTATAGATCCCTTTGAATCGCAGCGGCGGCGCCCTATGAACAAAAGTCGGCAACAACTTCAGAGAGAAAAGGCCCTTCAAGAGCAAAGCCAAAAACTTGGACTTCAAGATGGATCCACCTCATTACCTCCAGAGCAGATGCTTTCTGCAGCAAAACAGAGTCGTACTACTCAAAAGCCCCATTCCGCTCTTCCTTCTCCTGGCACACTCACCGATGCTGACAGCCAACCAATGGAACTGGGCCGTGAGAATTCACATGATGGAAACCTCAACAAAAAAGTGGAAGTTCTATCTCCAGAGCCAGGTTGCAAATTGGAAAAAAAGAAAATGGAATTGTTAGTAAGTCTATTTATCCATGAGAACCCTCGCCCTCCATTTTGTCTTTTTAAAATTTTAATTCCTGTTGGGCTTTAAGGAAATAGAGGTTTTCGCATTTCTTTCATTTCATATTGAAACTTAGAAATCTGATGAATAAACTATCAAACCATAACCACCACCTAAATGTATTATGTCTCAGATATTGTTGGACATTTTATATGATGTCATTTAGTCTTCACAACAGCTTTGCGATGCATGCTTATTATGCTCATTTAGAAATAGTTATCTGCGATTCAGAGGATAATGTCTTCCCAAATAGAATATATAGTTAGTAGGTGGTAGAGCTGTGATTCACACCTAAGTCTGCCTGGAGCTAAAGTTTGTGCTCCCTCAAGGAATCAGAAGTTCTTCTCATGTGCATATGCTCTCTCCCCACACTGAACCGATCTTCAGCTTCTAGACTGGAGCTCTGTTGGCCCCAAAGTGGGAAATTTGTGTAGAGATAGAAAAGGGGCAGTCACGAGAAGGAATGTCGGAAGCTGCAGGAGCTAACTATCAAATTCATTTGCCTCATTAGGGTTCTTTTTAGTGTATATTTAATGTTGAATTTGTACTAGCAACCACTTTACATTAATAGGTTAGTTACTACATTCTTCTGGAGGATGCTATTCTGTGACTTGTGAAGTCTTGCCATCAGAATGCTGTGTTTTAGGCATGTGTTCTAGTATCCACTCTTGGTTTCTTTATGTCCTCCTGGTTTATCATTCATAAAGGAGAGGATAGTACTTGTTTCTACCTCCTGAGTCTTTTTTTCTCAAAGTATTTTATATAATTTTTTCTAATCTCTTTCAAAATATTTTCATGTTTTTCTAATTTCTGAAGTATGAGGGGACGTCAGAATGTTTGTGGAAAAATGAAGCCCCGTTGTATTTTTAAATCTCTTTACAATGAGTTTAAATTGTTTGCTATCCACAAGAGGTTTACAACTAAGAAGTCATTTTGTTAAGAGATATGAAATTGCATGGCATGTGAAGCAGACATAAGTATGCTTATGCAGCTATATTTCATTGCCTATAAGACTAGTTAACCAGCAAAGATCTGATACAGGTAGTAGGTGTATTTACTTGAGCTGTACAATTTAAGTGGAATGTCTTTAAGAAATTAATCTCTTTTTAAGTACTTGGGAGATTTCTTATTAAAGATATATAATTTAGGAACTGTGAATGGAGAAGGGAACTTGTAAATATATAAGCTGTATTTCTTAAAGAATGCTGAAGTGGTGTGTGACTTCTGGGAGAGAGGCAACAAATAGACCAGAGACTAGTAGAGAATTAGGCAGTAAGGACTTGTAAAGCCTTGCCTGGACAGTTCTTCGATGTAGCAGGATCTCACCAAGGCGTCTGAAGGAAAGATGTACAGATCAAAATAATGGTTAGCGAAAACTCATATGTGCCTGGTGAGATGCCTCATTACAGAAATGGCCAATGCCAGCGGTAAACTGGAGGCTGCAGGAATGTAGCAAAAGGAGAGTTTTAAAGTGGTAACTGGGTTTGGGAATAAAGATCTTTGCTGTATTGGCTATAAGAAGTGACAGTAGGTGGAGAAGATGGCTTTGCCATTGCCTTGTTTAATTTGCATTGCCATAATGAGAAATTCAGAGCTGAACAGATTGGGAAGTAATTCACATTTTCAGACCTTTGAGACTTTCTCTTTAGTGTAGCTTTCATTCAAGTTTTAGTTAGCAGTGTTTCACTCTGCTTAGAAGTATTGAAAAGTTGGAAAGAAATGAACAAATGGAAAGAAAATAGATGTAATAAGCACTGGTTATTAGCTGAAGGATTTTAAAGTGGCAGAGTTTTGTAAAGAAAACTCTTGTAAAAAAGTAAGACTGATAGAAGACACCAGGTACAGACTAGTGCAGTTTGTTCCCCATTTAACTTAAAATACCTAATTAATTTGCACGAGTTTATTTGTAGTCCTAAAAAAACCCACAGTGCTCTAGGTTCCAATTTGTGGGTCCCTAGATTATATACATAAAATGCCTTTCACAGGGCCAATTTATGTAGGCCTCCTTTACTTCAGATTATAGCCTTTGACATGTTCTTATTAGAATAAAATAAGGAGCTGCAGTTGAGGACTTCTGAAAAAAATATACATAACCTGGCTGGTTAAATTTTATACATTGGGACTGAGACTGGTAAGACATGGATTGGGGTAGCAGGCAATCTCTTTTGTAACTTCCCAATACACTTTTTTGCTCCCTAGGCAAGAAAAATCTCGTTGGGAAATCCTCCAACAGGAACAACGGCTAATGGAAGAGAAAAATAAACGTAAGAAAGCTGTTTTGGCCAAAGCTATTGCAGAAAGGTAAGGTACATGAAACAGGAGATAATTCTAACCTGAAGTCAACCAGTCATGTGTCTTATTTATTTATTTTCTCATGTCCTAATAAACTGATCGTTTTCTCTAAAATTATTTAAGGCCATTAAATTGTTTGTGCTTTATAAATAAAACTAAATTCTGGTTTTCTCAACTTATTGAGGAGGACTTTTAAGCATAGGTCACACTACATTTATGCATATAGATGTATTTTCAGTGTTAGCCATCTGTACATTCAGAAGGGAAGGAGTCAGTAGATGTAAAAATGTGTACACAGACAACAAAAGTTTTCATTTTGACGCAGGGAATCTTTAATCACTTGGCATGTGGCAGAATAAGGGATTACACATAAATGACTGACAGTCCCACAATTTATATTTTCTATGACATTTTCTTAAACGATTTACCAAGCACCCACTTATAATAGGCCAGAATTTAACTGTTTGCTCATGACTGAGGTCACCCACTTCACAGGGTCTGTCAGTGATCCCGTTCTCCTTGACCTGCTGCCATTGTGGCCACTTTGAGCAGCAACACCCCGTCCTGCCACACTTCCACTGCCGGCCCCGTCTTCCTGCCCATTTTGTTTGTACTTCAACGTGCTGTGGCCCTAGGAAATTAAAGTTAGTTAATAAGGCAGTGAGAGTAAGAATAGTGAGGACTCAATGCAAGCAGGTACTCAACAGTGTTTGCTTTTCTGATCTCTGGAAAAATCTGGCAGAACTATTACTGTAGTGCATTTTGAGGGAGTTGGAAGGATTCTGAGAGAGACAGATAGCAATAAGTGTTTTTAAAATTTTATTTTCCAAAAGGAAGCATGTACTTGAAGTTTATTTTTTCTTTTTGCACCTTTTGTTGCACCTTAGTCTTTCATGAAGTTTGTTTAATAAATATAACTTGCTAGCTTTCTTCTTTTGTTTTGAAAAATGGGACAGCATATAAAAATCTAGTGCCTTCCATGTACCCACACTCCTCCCCCCCTTCCACTTTACAAGTGATTCTTGAAAAGCATTTTAATATTCTCAACTTGGAGAAAGGAGAGAATCTGTTTGGGGGAAAGGTCATTTGATAAATGCTTAGGTCCAGCACTCATTCTTCCTAAAATGCTTTTGATTTAAGAGAGCATTAATATGGGCAAGAATATGGACAATGAAGTATTTGAAGTATAAACGAATCATACTGAGAAATGAATTTTTATATGCAGGAAGCAAAAGTAAATGCATAGTGGAGTAACAATCAGGAGAATGATCTTGGGCAGTTCATGACCAGGCAGAACAGAATGAAGCAATATAAATGGGTTGTGTGATTCAGATTTTTTTTTTAGTACTATAAAGAGACATAATTCATAAAGTAAGTTGCAATACAGTGGTTTGATATGAAGGTTTCCTTCCCCTCAAGAATGTATATGAAATTTCAAAATGCATGAAACTCTGATTAAAGGTTTGCTTTTGTATTTGCTTGTTCTGTTCCATAAGTGTATGTTGTGCTTAGAGGGTGGCGAGGAGGAGACAGAGATAATGAGGATGAATATGCTTTTAAACAAGAAAGGAAAAAAGTGTTTGGTTTGAAGCCCCACAAATAATTTCAGAGACCTGTGGTTTTGTCTTGAGGATAGGAATCAAAGCAATGAGTTTAGGGAAATTAATCCTAAAAAGTAAAAAACACAGATGTTTTAAGATGTGTAAGAATTACTGTTTGTAGGCATCTCTTTTCTCAAGTGTCACTAAGTACCAGAAGAATGAATTTAAGGTTTGAAATTCAGAAGGTTATATTGGATATTTTGATGACAAGGGAATAGAGATGTGCCATTTATTTTTATTATCCTTACATAATGAGTATAGATCACAAATGAGCCATTTATTTTAAAAAAACTTATTTTCTCCTTTATGTAAACACATAATAAATGCTAATAGAAATTTTAGATAAATGGGTGGGAATCTCAAATATGTGAATTGGAATTGACTCACTGGTAGTGAGATGTATACCAATTTATTATGTTCATTTACCGTATATACTAGAGTATAAGCTGACTTTCTGCATTTTTTTTATTCTGTTTTTGTGGTAAAATTAGGTACCTTGGCTGATATTCGGGTCGGCTTATACTCACGTATATATGGTACTTTATTTGTTTTTCTAATTTTTAATTTTAAAGTGTGTGTAACTTCTCCCCCCTTAAAATCATATCTGAATACACCATTGGAAAAAAAAGGTTTTTAATGTTCCACCCTACTCCTGATTCTAGATCTAAAAGAACTCAGGCAGAAACCATGAAACTAAAGCGGATCCAGAAGGAGTTACAGGCTTTAGATGACATGGTGTCTGCTGACATTGGAATCCTCAGGAATCGGATCGATCAAGCCAGCCTAGACTACTCATATGCCCGGTGAGTTGGGGAAATATCAGAGAGTCCAGTTTGATTCATGTCATTTGCTAGCCAAGTAATGTGCTTTTATACATGTCCTCATTAAAGCTTCAGACTTCATCATGTGCTATATGTATTTCTCCTTTGCTCATTCAAGTGCCCCTCTCTGGTCAAGTCATCCTTAACTCTGTTTTGTCAGCTTACCATGTAATATGTCCGTTAGAGCACATCTTGTAATACTTACATTTAGCAGTTCCTGCTAAACCATCAGCTATTGAGTGCTTGGGACTCTTTTTTTTTTTTTTTATATTAACCATTTCAGATCTAACAAAGTAAATGCTACATAGCCCACATAGCAGACTCTCCATAATTATTTCTTAAATAAATGGTAGTATCTGAGTAACTTGCCCCCAAACACATAACTGTTATTTCTCAGAACCAATAGTAATACTCTCTTCCTTTTTGCTCCCAGTTGTACCCATCTCAATAGCAAATTCTGATTGACTTGGTCATTAGGGGACTGACTGAAGCCTAGTTCTTATTTCAGCAAGTAAGCATGCTGTAGTGTGTGTGTGTCAGTGTGTATGTCTGTGTGCGTCTGTGTGTCTGTGTTTAAGCTTATGAGTAAACAAAAAAATACAGCTCCATCTGGGAAACCAGAACTGTCGTCTTTATTCTTTCCTATTATACACTGAACAAATTAGTTTGATGTATATTTTCTTGTTTTCAACCATTGGCATTTTTTCTAAAGAGAAAACAAAAATCAGCATGGAATATTTTTAAAATAAACTAACACATGCAAAGAATTACATGGGCTTTGCAAACAGATAAAAGGGCAAAAAAAATAAGTTCAATTTCAGGGTTTTCAATCCTTTCAACATTGCTTTAATCATTCTGGTTTGTCTTTTTTTCACATGGGACTGCTGTGTTAATGACTCAGTTTTGCATCTTTCTCTGTAACAGTAGAAATCAATCATAATGCCTCATTAGTCCCGGGCAAACCACAGCATCAGAATGTTTACACAACAATTTAATAAAGCGGAAATGCTTGATTGTGGTTTTCAGTTCACTGTTTGGTATTTAAGCAAGAGGGTGGTGGTTGTCTTTGTGATTTTTTTGAATGTTGTTTGACCATATGCTATTAAATTTAATGTGTTGTTTTTATTAATTAACTTATGAATCAATGCCATCAGTAGCTGATAACTAGAGGTTCCAGATTTCTATCAATGAAGTCATTAAAGAGGTAGTCAGGATTTTATTATGAGTAAGCTAAGCCTTTTTAGCACATTTTCTTCTCGGTATTTAACGTTCACCAAAGGAACATTTTTATGCTCGCATAGGTCTTCATGTAATTCATTCAGATTACAAGATAGGGTGCTGGTAACCTCAACTGAAAACCAATTGGATCATGTTTTAAATCAGCCCTGGTGTCGGCTGGAAAAGGTTGCCTTTGCATGCCGAGTGTTATATAACAAGTATCACAACTTTAGCCTTCAGAAACCCACAGAGAAAATGGAATTACTAGTCACAGAAGCAAACAGCCAATTATATATGAATATCTTCATAAAATTGCAGTAAACTTTTACAGAGTTGACGTTGCATAATAAGCTAAGATGGCAATTTCTGTTGGTACTGACACTCTATGTGGATGTTGTGGGAGACCATTTTAAAGCCTCAGCTCGTGCATTATGTCCAAGAGAAGCCAACTGTGACTGGAACCAAGGCTGTGTCTTCTTTTCATGTGTAAGATTAAGAGCACATTTCCTAAATTTCTCTCTGTGTGTATTGAGAAAATGTAAATACTATTGTGGTGCAGATTTCTTGTCAAAGGGGACCCCCAAGGCTGGCAGTTTTTATGGGAAATTTATCTGATTTCTTTTGAAAATAAAAATTATATTCTTGGTTTTGTAGCACCTCCAAAACCAGACCAAACTCACTGCCATCGAATGGATGCCAACTCACAGTGCCCTTGTACAACAAGGTAGAACTGCCCCGTAGGTTTCTGAGGCTGTAATTCTTTATGGGAGTAGAAAGCTTCCTCTTTCTCCCTTAGACTTGCTGGTGGTTTTATACTGCTGACCTTGTAGTTAGCAGCCCATCATGTAAGCACAACTCCACCAGGACCCCTTTTAGCGTCTAGAAATCCGTATTACACCCCCCCC